TACAAAAGTAATTTCAAGTGTTGCTGCAGTTAACTAAAAACGCTTCATTTCCAATAAATGGTCTGATTGCTTCTTGTAGTATCTGCATATTCTAAATTGCAAGGATATCCTTGTTCAGGTATTTTCCTTCTAATTACAGAGTATACATATATGTTTTTGTAAGCACAAATCATCACCCCATTTATGCATTTTAAACAGTATTAGAAGGGAGTAGTTTATCAGTCCTGTTTTCAGACAGTGATTTCACCATTTATGTTTTAGAGAAAACATGAAACTGCACGCCCACAGAGAAAACATTGCTGCTTTAATATCTCTAGAGCTGATTAACCATGAAATTTCAAATTCCCATCACTTCTTTAATTCAGACTATTCAGTTTCAATTTTTTAGAGTTAAAACTCAACAAGGCACAGTTTGGCTTAGCTCAAGAAGAGTCTTTACACCTATTTATAATTTGATTGTTTGTAAACAAATGTAAACTGATGCAGCAACACCTTGATTTTGAGTATAGACAGCCCAACAGAAACAATTCAAACTGCCTGTATCATTCTAATGGAGACTATATTTATTTTTATATACATCTCACTTCTCCCAGGTAACCAGTGACAGAACAAGAGGCCATGGCCTTAAGTTATGCCAAGGGAGGTACAGATTGGATGTCAGGAAATACTTCTTCACTGAGAGGGTTCTCAGGCACTGGAACGGGCTGCCTGGGGAGGTGGTTGAGTCACCATCCCTGGAGGTGTTTAAAAGACGGGTAGATGGGGTGCTCAGAGATATGGTTTAGTAGTGGACAGGTACAGTTGGATGACCTCAGAGGTCTTTTCCAACCAGGAGATTCTATGATTCATTTCTACTGTATTTGATTTTGGATTCAGCACACTAAGCCACGTTGAAAAAAATTATCACCTTTACCCAAAGCTTTGAATGGATGTTTTGATACAGTGTCAAGATGGAGACAGATGCCTATTAAATGACAAATTAACTACTCCATTGTTCATCAAACCATGTCTGAGGCTACACAGATAGTCAAATGAATCACACCAACATTTGCTTTTGATTGCCAACTGAGCAAATTCTAATTTGCTATGCTTTTGCCATCTCCTTATGTCACCCTGACCCACCACTAAATTATAAGTCAAAGTCAGCTTTCGCTTCACCTGTCTCCTTCTAATTTTAGTAACACCAGGAAAAGACAACTACAGTTTTATCGACTCCTTATGCCCCCACGTAGAAGACACCACTGGCTGCAGCAGCATTCCAACAGAGCAGCAGCAGACTGCGCAGAGGTCCCGGGACAGGGCACTGACCTCCAGGAGCGGCCTCAGCTTCCAGGCTCAAGCATTAGCAAAGCTGCACATCTGAGCCTCACCTCAGCTTCCACAGCAGCAACCTCGTGCCTGTGGCAGAACAGGTTCATTTTGTTTGAGGAAGAAAATAAATCAAGCACCTTTTCAAAAGCCAGGAAAAATCCATCAGACATAGGTTCCTGGGTAAGCACTAGGTAAGAAGCAAATATTACTCTGTTACAGGATAGCACGGAACTGCAAATACAAATGATGCCATTTTAGCATATAATGATCAACGAACACAAAATTGTCTAATACAGTTGACTTCTACAACAGCTTTCATCTGAGTTTCTCAAAGTCATCTCCTCAAAAGTCACTGAAATACCCTAATACATCCAGCCTTTCTTCTAAATTAGCTACTTTCTCAAAAAAAACCCCAAATGCAAGGTGACAGATGACAGTAGCAGACCTCAAAATACAATTTATTATTCATGTGCATTACCTAAGCCCTACCTAGGGACAAAGACATGTTTTTCCTCTTTTTAAAGTTTTTTTGTTAAATACAAGTGAGGATACACGCCACAAAATCTACTTTGCAGTGTCGTAACAATGTAAGCCAGGATACTGGTCTATTCAACAAGTAACAACAGAGCTTTCTAGAAATCATACAACTATGCCAAGGGGAAAAAAATACTTTTTTCTCCAGCATTATTTATAGAATGGCATTCCTATCCTCACTAGATCTCACAGAAGATGTGCAAAAAAGCTCAACTGCAGCAATGCAAATTGTAGGTTGAAAGGTATCACAGATTTGTTTCATACCAGATTCTGGGAACTGCCTTCTTAAAATCTTAATAAAAACTGACTCATCACAATAGTTATGACATGATTCTAGTCTAAAAATTCTAAACTTGGGAATCTAACCTTCTACCCTATTCCTTTATTTCAATCAA